TTTCCTAGTCAGAGCCTGTAAGCTCCCCCTTCTCCCTAGTTCAGGATTTCCACATCCTTCCTTTTTGGACTTCTAGCCCTGATTTCCCCAAGCCAGCAGATCTCTTAGCAGTAGCTGTAAACTTAACTTTTCCCAGCTGATCTGTTTGTAAGTAAGGCTGAGCCAAGCCATGCCAGCAGGTGGCTGCCTTTCTTCTACTTGGGGTCCCCCTCAGATTATGAAGGATAGGATCAGGGTATTTCACCTTCTGTGTACCTCTGTTTCCCAGAGGAACATGGGGGATTGGATCAGGAATTGCTACAGCAGGACCAGGCACTCCAGCCTGTTTTAGGCTTAACTGGCTGTCCTCAAGGTCCATGGGGCAGTTCCACTTGGCTGTTGCAGCAGCAATATCCGTGCCATGGCACCCCTGAAAAGGTCTTGCAGCACCCCAGTTGCAAACTGCTGATATAGAAAATGATGTCTATTAGGCTGAAATTCAGGACAAATAATGTCCGTTACAATGTGCATAGGTTTCAGGCAGATCTCTCATCACAAAATACAGGCGAGTGTTTCATGAGATTATGCAGTGGGGTAAGAAAACTATGCTAATGGATTTGTCAGCTTCATCTTGGCAAATAATTGATTTGAGGGCACTGGGCTGAAGTTTACAGTGACACTGTATGTTCTGTTACACTACTCTATGATCTGTGAAATGTAGTCGTGGATGAACACGAGAAAAGGAATAGGAGGAAGGATCTGGTGTGCACTAAAAATGTTGGCTACTAGTGGCTACCTGCAGAGATCCTGATTATTAGTATCAAAGAATTATCAAATACTTTTAAGGGCTTTGTGGACTGGTGATATCCTATAATGTTTCTGTACTGAAAAGAGACACTGTAAATGGATTCATGGGGCTGTTTGTTTTAATTTGCTTCTCACATCTGCTGAGTTTTAAAGCATGGGTTTTATAGATGCCTCTCTGGCAGGTAGAATATAGTGCTGTATTCTTTCTGCATTTTGTATTCCTAGTAATAAGATTTTAGTTTTAAGCTAAAACATTTTGATTATACCTAGAGTCATAGCCTCAGACGAATTGGGCTGGAAGGTATCTCTAGAGGTCATCTAGTCCAGTTCCTTATTGAGGCAGGATCATCCCAAGTAAATCCTTGTTGAAACTGTTAATAAAACTACAAAATCAGCCCAGTCACGCAAGGCACAGCAACCTAACCTGCCATAGATAAAGCAAGGGGACATCTGTTATTAGTGCCCTGGTGCTGTAAGGGTTATTAAAATGTGCTTGAGGGATCCCAGGAAGAGGGCACTCCCCCACAATCTGCTACAAAAGCAGGCAGAACCCCTACAATCCGTAGCAATCTGACCGTGGGGTAAAATTCCTTCTTGACCTCAAATGTGGTGATCAGTCTGACCCTGAACAGAGGGGCAGGACCATCAAGCCAGGCACATGTTTTAGTCCCAGCAGGAGCATTGGCACACTCCAGTCAAAATTCCCAGCCTTGGCTGTAGCCAACAGCCACTGCTTTTTGAGGAAGGCAAAAAAATACCTCTGAATCTTGTAGCAACTGGAGGGGAGGAAAACCCTTCCCAGTCCCATGTAGCAACCAGCAAAGCCCAGAAGCATGGGAGTTACTAAACACCTTCCACTACTCTGTAACTTGGGGAGAGCCAACATAACTCCATACATCACACCCTCTAACTCAGGGGCAGGCAATTATTTTGGCTAGAGGGCCGCTTAATGAGTTTTGGTGAGCTATCGAGGGCCACAAGGATAGCCCTGCCCCTCAACAGGTTCTCCACCCCCTGGTTGCCATCTTGGGACCGGAAATCCCACCCCAACCCCTGACCATCAGAAGTCCTTCCCCTTGCCCCCTGGAAATACTCCTTTTTGTCATGATTTGTGTGTATTTTGTTGTGTACAGAGGTGATTACATAATAGCTCAAAATGAAATCTTACTCTTGTACATTGTGGGAGGCTGTGGGGGCATGTGGAGGGGTGTAGCGGGGTATGGGTGGATGGGTATGGAATTTTTTTGGGTTGCTGTGGTTGGGTGTGTATGTGGGGTGTGGGTGGGTGGGTATGGGGTTTGTGGAGGGATATGTTTATATGTCAGTGTGTGTGGATGTGGGGTGTTGGGGAGTGCACCATGTGCTTCCCAGCTGCAACATGGGGCTCGTGGGACTCTGGCTCTGTGCCTCCATGTGCAGGTTCTGGCTAGAGTGCCAGGAACCCTGCGAGCCAGCCCAGCCTAATGGCATGAGACTCCCCATGGCTCCTGGCACTAGCCTGCCAGTGGACCGGGCTGGCTCTGTGCGGGTCCTGGTGTTACCGCATTCTGCAGGACCGGTCCAGCAGCTGCGTGCCATGCTGCACAGGTCCTGGGCATTGCAGCTGGGAGCTGCATGGTGCCTAGAGAGGACAGGCCAGGTTGGCTCAGTGCCACACTGCTGGGAGCTGTATGGCACCAGGAGGTGCCCAGCTGGTTCCATGTCGCACAGCATGGTTCCCTGCTACAACTCTGGGATTCTTGCTTATTCTGCCATCCTGGCATTGAAGCTGAGAACTGCGTAGCGTGGCACGGAGCTGGCCAGCACAGCGCATAGTTCCCAGCTGCAACACGGACCGCAGAATACAGCAAAAGCCAGCCCAGCCCCCACGGTTCCCATTTGGCTCTTGCTGCTGCTGGCCTTGGCCCTGGGGCCTCGCACTCCTACCCACTGCCACTTTCTGCTCTGCTTCTGCTGCCGCTGCCTTTCCCCTGCCCCCTCCCTTCCTTCCCCCATACCCCCCCTGCCACCTGCCCCTCCTCCCTTGCCCCAGCTGACCACCCGCCACTCCAGTAGCATGCAGTTCCTGGCTACATGACTGGGACTGCACAGCGCAGCAGGAGCCAGCTGGGAACCGTGTGGTTTGCACTCCTGCTGTGCCAGCGATCCTTCCCCCCGGTCCGCCCATTCTTATCTGAGTCTTCACTCTTGGGCAGAGAAGCTGGGAACAGCCCCAGGGTCCCAGGCTAGAAGCCTCTAGGCAGAAGCTTGGGCTGGGGGTTGGGGGTGGGACAGCGTGGGGTGGGCCTTGCTGCTGCTTCCGCTGGGTCCTACTGCCATCTCCTCCTGGGTTCTGCTGCCACTGGTGCCTTGTCATCTTTGACAGGCAGCTACAGGAAGATAATAATTGATTTTCTAATTTTTTTAGGGGCCCTGTGGACTGGATAAAATGGCCTGGTGGGCCGGATCCGGCCCATGGGCCGTATTTTGCCCACTCCTGCTCTAACTGGACAGCCAGAACTCCCCTTCCTGTATCTTCTTCATAAACTTATCCCAGCTCTTTTAATCTTCTACCGTAAGTAAGCCAGACTGTAGAGTAGTTGTTCATTCTCCTGTTGCTGTGTATGCTACTCTGCGATAACCACTTGCTTCAGATTCTAGAGCTCTTCTCATATTTCTCAGCAAGCTACATGAAGGGATCAGCTGGTGGCTCCTGAGCTTCTGACTGTTGCTCTTTACAGAGCACTTCAGGTTTCTCCAAGATCAGAGCTGTCCAACTTCTTAGCCTCTGGCAACCACGTACCATGTGGGCTGCACCAGACTAGCCATAGGCTGCCTGGTCACATAGACACTTCCCATCCCCTTCCCTCCCCACACTGCAATGCATGCTCTTGCATGCAGCCCCACCACCATTGCACCCCACGCATGGCCCCAGACTCACCCTCAGCACCTTGTGCCACTTGCCACGCTGCAAAACATCCCTGGGATAGAGGCAGAAAGCATCAGCCAGGAGAGGTGGGGAGAGCATAGAGACTCTCGCTGCAGTTTCAGTCAGAGCGATTGGGGGATTGGCAGCCAGGCAGGAGTCCGGTAGCCACAACTTAAGCCAGTGGTTTCCAACCCTTTTTTGCTGCTACCCCTTTGTGCGCAGTGGCCCTACCCCACCCACCCGCCGCTCCTGCGCCGCATGCACAAGTGTGCACATGTGTGCGGGCCCTTCACAACCCTACTGAGGACCCCTCGCAACCCTGATTTGAGTCGTGCCCTGAGGTTGGAACCCAATGACTTAACCTCTTGGGGGCTGCCGGTTGGACAGCCCTGCCCTAAGTCATCCCTGGTTAATGCTTATCCAACCTTTTCTTGAACACCTCAAGTGATGGAGCATCCACAACTTCCTGGGCAGTCTATTCTGCTGCCTCACTGTTCTAACAGAAAAGAAAATGTTCCTCATATCCCATCTGAACCTACTTTACTGCAGCTTCGAAACATTGATCCGTGTCCTGCTCTCTGCAGCAAGGGAGAAAAGGTGTTGTCTCTCTTCTTTATGGCAGCCCTTCAGGTATTTGAAGACTGCTGTCATGTCCCATCTTAATCACCTTCTCTGCAAGCTGAACCTCTCCTCATGTCTCACCTTCCAAACCCTTCATCATTTTTGTTTAACACCTCTGAATCCTCTCTAACTTCTCCACATCCTTTCTAAAACATGGAGCCTAAAACCTGCACAATCCAGTTCTCTGCCTCTACGATCCTCTTGTCCAGCACCCATGTGCCCAGCTCCATTCTAGGTGCAACAAAGTGTAAAGAGTGCTCATGACAAACCACATTCCTTCCATTAACTGCTGCTGGTCCTCCCTGTTAAAAGTATTGTTTACATTAGGGTCGGCAACCCCTGTCATGCATGCCAAGCATGGCACGCGAGGCCATTTTCCTTGGCACACCACTGCCAGCCTGGGCTCTAGGCAGCTGCTGCCAGCTGGGAGCCCAGGCTCAGCTGGGAGGCTGCAAGCCCTGCTGTAAACAGTCCAGGCACCATGGCTGGCAGCAGCTACCCCAGAGCCTGGGCTGGCTGCAGCTGCAGCTCCCTGCAGCTCCCTGCTGCATGTGTTACCTTACCTTGACCCTGACTTCTCAAGCAGTGCCAGAGTAGCCTGGCTTTGAGAACCTCCCCTTGCCATTGCCTGGAATTGTTCAACTTCCTCGCTGCATGTTCATTGAATATTTTATTTTGCCTGCAGGTATAGGAAAGAACGTGATTTGTGAGAAAGCTGCTACTTCTGTAGATGCCTTCAGAATGGTTACAGCTGCCAGATATTACCCCAAGCTCATGAGCATTGTTGGCAACGTCCTCCGTTTCTTGCCTGCCTTTGTCAAAATGAAGCAGTTAATAGAAGAACACTACATAGGCAATGTAATGATCTGTGATGTACGTGTGTACTGGGGAAGCCTGCTTAGTCATAAGTATAACTGGATCTGTGATGAGCTAATGGGAGGAGGTGGACTGCACACCATGGGCACCTACATTATAGACCTCTTAACTCATCTAACTAGCAGGAAGGCTGAGAAAGTCCATGGCTTGCTTAAAACATTTGTGAAGCAGAATGCAGCTATAAGTGGAATCCGTCACGTCACTAGTGATGACTTTTGCTTCTTTCAGATGCTTATGAGTGGTGGTGTCTGTAGCACTGTGACTCTCAACTTTAACATGCCAGGATCATTTGTTCATGAAGTCATGATTGTTGGGTCTGCAGGTCGCCTTATTGCTCGTGGGACAGACTTGTATGGGCAGAAGAATACAGCACTTCAGGAGGAACTGCTCTTTACAGATTCTCTGGCCATCAATGCGGGGCTTCTGGAAAAGGGGTTTAAAGACATCCCATTGCTCTACCTGAAAGGAATGGTATATATGGTGCAGGCACTGCGACAGTCTTTCCAAGACCAGGAAGACCGTCGGACGTGGGATCACAAACCAGTCTCTATGGCAGCCTCTTTTGAAGATGGACTCTATACGCAAAGTGTAGTAGATGCCATAAAGAAATCCAGCAGGTCTGGGGAGTGGGAAACTGTGGAAGTGATGACTGAGGAACCAGATGCCAATCAAAACCTTTGTGAGGCACTTCAAAGGAATAACCTATAAATGGAAACATTCATGTGGCTATTTTGGAAGGTGGAATCATTGAAAATGTCCAGCTGTAGCTGTAAAAGTTTCTCCGTTTTCAAGATATGTAGATTCTTATTTAATATTTGGGTGGTTTTCATGCTTGTGGGTGAAACATGTCTTGCTCTAATGAAACTGTTCTCTGGCAGATTGTTCTGTTTTAAACTCCTTTGAAGAGGTTTTTTTTTTTTAATGTTTCTGTTTTTTAGAGCTCAAATTCTGTTTTGGGGACTGTTGGCAAAACTTGAATTGCCCTTTGCACTTGCAGTAACTAAAGTGACACATGGAATCTTTGCCATTTTATTACTGACAGATGGGACACAATCCCTCTTGCACATAATTCAATTATTTTAACAGTTTTAACATGTGAGCAAGCCCAGGAAGCCTGTCTAACTCACCAGCCCTTGTCCTCTCTAATAGGACTGTTTACAGATTTTTTTTAGATTTAGTCCTTTGCTTGTAAAATGGTTTGAAAGAGAAGTGTACTGATGTGGCAAATCTGTTCTTCACAAAATTTGAGCTTCAGAAGGGGAAAAATAAAGCTCAGGCTTAGTGTTCCTCACATAGCTAGTGTGTTGAGCTTTTTTTTCAAATTTAATTTCAATTGGTATCCACATTTAAAAATATCCTGTGGATTCTCTATTGCCGGTCTCTGCAGTCTGTCAGGTTTTGGAGTGCTATGGTTATGTTGGCTATTGTTCCATCCACATGAATGCTGTTCTTTCATACCAGATACTTGGAAAAGTAATATCTCCCATCATTTTTTTTTTTTTTAATCTCTACATCTTCCTACCCCCAGAGCAGTTGTGAATTGTGTTTGCTACCGGGCAGCACAGATGCCAAATTTATTCTGAAATGTTTTCAGCCCTGTGTTCTTTACTGAAGTCCTCACTGGCTTATCAGGTGGTGTCTATTGTTTGCTTAATGTCACATACGTTTGTTAATGTGACAGAGAGTAACCTTCCAGGAATTTAAAGGTGGATGAAAAAAAATAGAAACTATTTCATTGCCATACTTTAGTGATCCCTTTGCCAGCACAGTACGTAAACCTTGCAAGCTAAATAGTGGCAACTGAACTGTTAAGGTAGTGATGATCTTCAGTGTCTAAGCTTTTTAATGATGTAGACTGGATATTACCTCCTGTGTTCCCACACCCCTTGATTTGTATTAAGGGGAAATGTTTTGCTGCTGGCAGATCTTGAGTAGAATTTGACTCCATTTCAGTAATGTCTTTTGGTTAAGCTGTCATTAAGAAGGGGTAACAACATTTTAATTAAATGCATTTTGTTTACTTGAATGTCTTTATTGTTTTCCCACTAGATTTTAACCCTGTATATTTATGTAAAGCACTAACATGCAAACATATGTTTCATAAACCCGTTCTTTCTGAAGTGTCTCCTTTTATTTCTACAGAAATAACTGTTGTGTTTGAGGGCATTCCTTCTTGCAGTTTGCTTGCTTGTTTTTAAAGACAAAATGCACTCTTCTTCCCTCCTGCCTCAGGTCTGTAGGGCAGGGCCTCCCCCACACATTACCAGAGATGCACCAATAAAAATTTGCTTGGCTGATACCGATAGCTGATGATTAACCAGCCATGTCAGCTGATGCCAATCCAATATTTGGTAATAGTGCAAGCCATTTTTAACTACTGACATAAATAAACCTTTTTTTGTTTATTTTGCATTTATAACACACGTATGCATGCACACGTGCCTCCTGCCTGCTCTAGCCCTTGACAAGGAAGGTGGTGACCACCTTATTCCTACATACATCGTCTCCTTGCCCACGGCTTCTACCCGCAGCCCTGCTCCCCGCACAGCCTGTTCTGCTATCACAGGTGCACCAGGCAGACCCTCATGTGCACAAAGGTGCCGGGCATGTTTGGAGCCCCAGAGCATGCTGCTGCCTCAGTGCTGGTGACCTCCGCACAGCCGAGCTCCTGCAGCCATTAGGGAGAATCCACTTTTGCAAAGGCACCCAGTGCCCAATGGAGTGGAATCTACCTCGCACGGTACCATACCCCACCCACGCACAGCCCAACAGCTCTGTGGCGGCCCTAGTGCTCAGGCTGCATGCACGATGTCATGGGAACATAGTCCCTTTGTTGCTGAGCATGGGGCCCTATGACTGCTCCCTAGCAGCCCCTTCCCTTGCTGCTTGCCAGGACCCGTAGTCTGCCGCGGGCTCAGGCTAGCAGCAGGGCGTGGGGACTGGACTATGCTCACCAGGGTGCTCCAGGCACACGGCTGTAATTATTGGCTATAACGACCAAAAAAACCCAAGAGCTGATAATGTAATTTCTCCTTTTATCAATGCTGATCTGTTAACCAACCAATATATCAGTGAACCCCCACACATTACATATGTTAGATAATTAAACTGGTAAATCATGCAATAAATTTAGCCTGGTCATGTGCAAAATAATTACCTAGCCATAAAAATGGCTATCCAGCTATAAAAAGAGTCAACCAGCTACAAATTTAGCACTTAAAAATCTGTAACAACTTTGTAGCTGGTTTTTATCTAGCTTTAATTTGAACATGTGGCATAGCCCTAGGAAGTTACTATTTTCAAATTGCCAGTATAGACTTCTTTGCAATGTTGTATTTCATGACAGTGAACAACACTTAGTTGTTACATTGCAGAGATGTCCAAGGAGATGGGCTAGTTACTTGTTAAGAAACATCTGTCTTTGTACTGCTGTGTTTAGTCTGAAGTCGGGCAGAAGGCAGGGTAGAGTGGCACCATAGGCACTAACTGGTTCAGAAAGGCTTGAGTTTTCAAAGTCGACAACTTACTTTGGCAGATGCTAGGAATCTTGCTATGAAACCTCTTGCTTCTTTGAGCCAGTTAGTCTGAAAGGCCACACTGCCCTACCTTTTGCCAGATTAGTAAATAGAATATGGAAAGGGAAGAGGCTCCTTAGAAAGATCAGGAAAAGGGACTAATCATAGAGTTGTTACATCTCATGTTCGTAGGTATATTAAATTAGAGAGAATTCCAGTCTCATCTCTCTTTCCCTGTTGTTCCCTTGCTCTTCACTGGGATTGTGTGCTTTCACATGTCATTTTCCTTAGGCCATGAAGCTAGAGAGCAGCTGGCTTTAATGTAATCACACCATTCCTGCCCTGCTTTACGCATCTCCTTTTGCAACTAATGGGTTCTCTGCTTCCTCTCTACCTTCGTGCAGCCTTTAGTGGAAAAATAGGTGAGAAGGAAAAATGCCACATTCTTTGTCCAAACTGAATTCACTGTTCAGTTCATGAATTTAAATAATCCTGTGGGCTTCTGACATGTTAAAGGTCTGCTGATATGTCATTTTAAAGTTGGGGTGGGGTTGAACTGTTTTTCTGGGCTACTAGCATATGCAATATCTTGCGGTGTCAGGAGACACTGTTTTCTTTCCTTGCAGACACTTATTGTATGTAGCTTAGATGAGCCACCCAGATGGCTTGCAGTCCCCCACGCTGTTTCCACTAGACTTAAGAATGCTTAAATTGAATGCATATTAGATTCCATTTATATAGACCAGTAGGTTTCAGTTGAATCAGAAGGAAAATGAACTGTGCTTTGGTCTTAGGAAATCTATTTTCATTTAGGGAGAAAAGTCGTTCTAATTAGAAGATACTGAATAGAAACTTTGTTTTTATATCATTTACCCTCCAGATCATAGGTCTTTTTATTTTATCTGTTGAGCCTTCAGTCTATTTATAGTTCATGTAAACAAGCCATAACAGCAGCTTTGTCCTTGAAGGTCTAACATTATTTCACTGATGTATTTCACATGTTATTTCACATTATGTCACGTTAGATGTATTTGAACCATCAGAATCATCCCCAAACTCCATTAGAGATGTCCAGTTCTGCTCCTTAATGAAAGAGCAGCTCTGCATTTGAAGCCATCATCTGGGCTATTTAAACATAATTCCTCAGTGTTTCAGTCCTTTATAAATGTGTTCAAATAGAAAATCCAAAGCTTAGCACCAGTTACCTGATGGTTTCTGTTTAATTGTAGTCTTTCTATTTTCAGGATAAACTGAAAGAACTTGACATTATGTGAAGTGGGCTACTTTCACCTATCCAATCTTCTCTAAATTTAGCCAATGCAAGGATCGGCTGAGAAAAAGGAAAGGGCCCAGAAAGCAAGGTGAAAGAGAATTATCTAACACCTGTTTTCTTGACTACATCTCAACATAATTTTGGCAATTGATATTCCATTGCAAATGAAGCTTTGTGCCCCACGGGGAACATGGGAAAACTGCTTTCATAGCACTACTTACTTTCATAGCACTACTTTCATAGCACATTCAGGAATGCGTGGTGCATGTCCTGTAATAGGAATTGCGTTGTACTTGGGCTTTGTAATTCTCATTAAAGAATTGCAAGTAAAGGAAATAGTTAAAAACAACAAAGAGTTGCCTTTTAAACCTATTGTACAGTTTTGCTATTGAATAGTAAAAGAGTTTTTCAAAAGAATGCACTGGCCAGCTTAGCAAAGCTTGGTCCTATTTAGGGAAGTTTTCTCTGCTTTTGGCTGCATGTAGGATAGCCAACCTGGACGTGCAGTTATAATGTTTATTCAGGATCTGTGCCCTAGAGTAATGACTACAGAATAACTAGCATGTTCTATTTAATTCTGTAAATCATTGCTCTGTAGCAACCTCTGCTGGTGAGAGAGCAAAGGATTTTTATAGGTTTTTGAACAAAAGTTTATTCTTTATCAGGCATGGTTTGAATAGTTCTCATTCAGATTGGGAGTCAGTGGCAGCAACTCACACTTTTTCCAGACTGAAATTTGGCACCTTACCATCTGTCTAAATATGAAAATGATCCAGAATATGGTGGAGTTTAAATGTTAAGTGGAATATGTGTCCCAGATTAGCTGTGTGGATGTTCTCATTCTAGAATACAGCTATGGTTTTTACATTTTTTCCCCTGGTGTAGCTTAGTGCATTTAGTGGATTAACCCTACCTCTGCTGTATTCTGGATTCATTTTCATATTTAGACAAATCCGAAGGCACCAGAGCTTGTGAAACTCCAGAGCTACAGCCATTAATGCCAAATGTGAAATAAGCATTCACACATGTAGTTAATCTGGAATAAATCTATGTATAGAAAACTCCTAAGGCCTTTTTGTTTTACATAAGTTTAAATGAGCTTTCAGAAAAAAAAAATAACACAAATGTGTTTAGCAAGCTGGGTTTATTCAGTCCATAGAGTCATAGAAAGTTAAGAGGTGGAAGGGACCTCAGGAGGTCATTTAGTCCAACCCCCAGTCCAGTTCAAGAACTTCATAATGTATATAAGAGAGATCTGCTGTCAGATATGTAAGTCTGAATTCCTATCCCTTTCACCTATTTTCTGAATAGATGTGAAAGTTACCAAGGATTTCCTGTCCGACTGTAGCTGCTGGTAGCATGTACAAATGGTTGGTCAAAATCAGTAGAGGCAAAGCATTTCCATGGCCACTTACTTGTCTTCCTGGTGGGTTTCCCCTGTCTCCAGCTACACTGCTGAAAGCAGCAGCATCTTTTGCTTATCTTCCTTCCTACAGAGCTTCAGAGCAAGAAGAACTAGTGAAGGAGGAAAAGGAGGAACTCCTTCCCAGGAAAAGCTAAAAGGGAAAGTCTGAAAAGGCTGTTACTGTGCCGCTCTCCTGAAGTGCTGGGGTGGTTGGCCCACTCTGCCCTACCCGTTCCAGTGGGGCCATGTGCCCATTTACTATTGCCAAGCTTGAGTTAGGACTGAGCAGCTTGGAGCCAGACAACCTTTTTCAGTCTCGTTAGCCCTATATCATCTCTAGAAATGAGCAGGACAAAGTCCCACATCTCCCAGGCATTAAGGAAAGGATCAGGCTCATAGAGGTTCACAAGGCGACACTGGAAGCTTGGTATACTCTCGGGTCTCTGCTTCATCCAGAAGTCTTAGCTTGGCTGAACAGGGTTTTTTGCAGCTTTAGTATATTACTCTGGAGTTGATGCTTCCACTTCTCTCCCCTCCAGTGTCTCCAAGTACGGCTGGTCTTCCCTTGAATTCTACAGCAAGCTTCTTGGAGCTCAGGGTTCTCAAACTGGCTCACAGGTTCTCAGATTTTCTCTCCTCCCCCAGGTCCCATCCTACTCAGCTCATGATAGCATCAGTCGTGCTGACTGATTTGAATGGGCCTGGTAGACCTGTAGTATTTTTGCTTTGGCAAGAATCCAACACCCTCTTATACTTGGTGAGCTTGCCAGGTCCTGCAGGCCTGTGGCTGTCTGAATTAACCAGCATACTGGCTAAGCCAGAAATTTTCCCTTCCCAGGAGAGTCTGTCTACTAAAAAATGTTCAGTTGTGACACTGCCTGGTCCTGCCTTCCCTCAGCCCACCTATTTGTGTGTAGTTCACAAGGCAGCATCCAGGTAAGTCCTTCCTGTGATATTAAGGTCTGCATCCAATACTTCCCTGCCCTGCTGGTTGCTTTCCCCAGTGAAGCTTCATGCTCCCTCTTCGCTCATCCACTGGCCCCTGACTATAGGGGGTTTGTACACTTCCCTATATCCATATGGCCTCAAATTCTGCAGATTCCAGTCACTAGGAAGCCTTAAATAGGGCAAAACACTGCATATTTAGGAACACTTGCAGATTGATTCGTCTTGCCTATGTGCCAGAACCTTAGCTCAGGCTTCTGTATTTCCTTCCCAAAAGCTGAAGGTGTCTCAAGCACCTAATGTAGAACAGGGAAGTAGGCTCTGTACCTTGCTTTGGGGCAGGGCTGGGTAACTTATGGCCTGCAGGCTGGATCTGGCCTGCAGTGGCATGGGGGATCAGCGGCACACAGCTTGCCCTGGCATCTCCCCGCTTCTCTGCTCCACACCCTACTGCCAAGCCCCTAGCAGTGTCACCCCTGCTGCCCCCTCTTTGCCCATTGCAGCTCCCTGTCACTGTTGAATCTGGGCCTCCCCACTGCCAGTGGGGACAGGGATTGGCAGCACACAACAGAGGCTGCAGCAGGTGGCTTGGCCTCTCCAGAGAGGGGTGGCAGCCCAATGGCCTCCTGCTTTAAAAGGTTGCTGACCCCTACTCTAGGATAAGCTATGACTGGATTTCTGGGAAAGCCCAGAACTTTTCATGGTTAAAAGGTTGCCATCCCCTTCCTAATGAAACTATTCAGCACTGATATTGGGGAGAGCAGTTAAAGCCTTGAGAATGGATTGCAAAAAGCAGTAGAAAAGTTCAGTGGTTTTCATGTGGTGCATCAGGATCCTATGTCATGCTGTGTGAATCAGACTACTGTACTCTGTGTGTGTAGAGGGGGGAGGCAAGAAGGATTTTTTAAACCATACTTCCTTTCTAGGACTATGTTCTTCACACTTAGTGCTTGGTAATGCTGGAGGTGCAGCCCCTGAACTGATCTAAGCCTGCCTTTTCCATACCAAAGCCTATTCATTGAGAGTTCTGGATCAGCCAAAGGCAAAAGAAGCTGTGCACCTTTCATTGGAGGTCTCTCATAGGGGTCCTTCAGCAGCAGCTCTTGTGACTTGCATCTCCCTGCCTGCGGTTTCTGATGTCACTCCCCAGGCCTGTGATGCATCTGTGGCATGGCACTGCACAGCAAGGGCTAAATTAACATGAGTGTTTAATCCTTATACCTTTCAAGCAGGCACTACTGCAGTGGAGCATGGCAGGACTGGCAGTGACTTGTTTAACCTCCTCTGCATTCTGGATTGTTATATTTTATAGGCCTTGCTCTGGATGCTAAAGTGTAGCTTGAATCTGTTTGCAAATGATCTGATCTACATCTGTTTACTATTTGTGTGATCTGTAAATAGGGGATGGATTGCTACTGTATTTATTTAGCTCAATGTTTTTTACTGGCATTTTTTATATTTAATTAGGACTGTTGTGAAGCATATGAACTCTTCATTAAAATAGTTCATACCTGGCTGAATTGTAATGGTCTCTGTTGGCTGTAGATACAGATCAATTTGTGTTTAAGACTGTCATGAAAAGTCAGCTTGAGCTACTGCATTAGTGTAACTTGACCCTTTGTGTAATTTGGGGCTCTGCAAAACCTCAATAAATTTATCTGTGTGGATAACCTTGTGAGCAAGTGTGAGTTGATCTCAGGCCTGCCAAGCAAGTGAGCTCACCAATTAAGGGAGGGAGTAAGCAGATGGGAGACGGTGGGTGCATCTACACGTGTGCTTTACTGCAGCGTTGACCAATTAGTTCTGCTGTAAAGCATCACAATTTACATGTGTGCCAGTATTAGAGCACAGTAAATTAATTAACTCTGCTGCAAGATAGTAGTGTCAGGGACAGTACTATCTTACAACGGAGTCATTTACTGTGCAGAAACACATGTGTAGATGATGACCAGGACTGTAGTAGTTTGAGCCAGGGCAGAACAGCTCTGGGCTGGCAGCAGCCTAGGCAGGAGTGGGGAGTGGGTCAGCCATATGGCTCCACAGTTTCAGTTCTCTTGTGTCCTAGCCGGCCCTGACACTTGCTGATGCTGCCACTGGGAGCCGGGGGCTAACCCCCCGCAGCCTGCTGCCAGCCTTGGCTGCTCCACCCCAGCTCAAACTGCTGTGGTCCCGGGCACACATGCATGCACTGTGCCTGGGAGCAGCTGACTCTGGCACAAACTGCTGGAGTTTATCCCATGGTCTTAATGGCATGTATACTTGCACCCTGTCTGTCTCTTTTTGTACAATACCTAGTGCGATGGGGCTCTGATCTTGGTTGGTGTCATGGTGTGACTTTAAGACATGAGTCTCAGGACCTGCAGAGCTTACCCAAAGCTTACCCAGCTGTGTTCATTCAGGGGTGATCTTTTTGGCATATTTCCTGCTAGGTTTATGCCTGTTTGGAAGATAATTCTTGAACTGACAAGGCTTAAAGATGCCAAGATTGCCTTGTGCAACAAAAGATATAAATGTAGAGTAGGGTGGGCAAGCTTAAAGACCACAGTGCTTCTGGTGGGGGCATGAGAGATGGGCACAAAAACCCCTTCCTGGTATGTTCCAATGATCCCAGAAGGACAGGAAAGACTCCAGGGAGGTAGGAACAAACAACAGGAGTGAGAAAAGAGGAGAAATGTGAGCTGGTTAACTTTAGGCTGGAGATGGTATTTGGACTTCCATCTCTTGGTGGCAGCTCTCTAGGACACTGGCTGAGAGCTGATTTAGTTTAAATCCCCCAACCTGATGTGTGACTCTACCAAGCTCTGTCATTGGGAGATTCCCTCTGCAGCCCCTAGCCTACCTTTTCCAAACATGAAGTATCCCACCCCTCTGCTATTCACCAAGAGCCATCACTGCTCCCATCTGCAACACGCTATTGCATCTCTGAAACTGTCTCCTGACAAATAGTGATGCTGGGGCTGTGGGAGTCCCTGGCCAAGTTTCGCTTGGGCTGAAGAGCTTGATTTACCTAATCATGTAATAAGCTGCACTGAGTCCTGCTCCAGGCACAAACTCAGGCAGCTACAGTGGTGCATTCAGGCTTCAGACAATGCACATTCTATCTTCCCTTTCTAAATTTTAATGTGAAGTGTTTGGAATGAGCTACTCTCAACCTCAACCTCCATTGTCTTGCAGGCATGAGAGCACTCAACTGAATGACTGCCTTGTACCTCAGCACTGTCCATCCATTAGTCTGTACCTCCAGGCACTATGCAGTCAGCACTTTTACAAGCTTTCTTTATTTCATAAATGAGTAATGAGGGCATGAATGTAAATACTCAGCTCCAGCCACAATGAGCAGGGGTGGGAAGATGCCCTGGCATTTGATAAAGAAAAGGAGCTTTTACCAGGAGTGCTCAGCCAGCTTCCTAAAGCATTCGCTCTAGCTCCAGACAACAGCCCATCCCATGTTTGTTTTATGCTGAGCTAACATAGTGGGAAACCTGAGTCTGTGCAATTATTTATGCTGTGGTGAGAGTGGAGGCACCAAGTGAGCTGCACAGACACTGAGCATCTTGTCAATGGCCACTTGAGTCGACTTGTCCACCTCGGATGGGGCTGGAGTTCCCAGGGAGCAGACTGCTGGGTTACTGCCCTTCTCACCTGTAATGTGGAGAGGAGGAGGAATCTGTGCTGACATGGACAGCTAAGCTTACATCATTGTGCTTCCTTCATGTGGGGGAAATGAGGAGGGAGATACTTGTTTGCACCAGTTGGTGACCAGAAGGGTGAACAGAAAGACTCCCCCTTCTGAGAGAGGTCTGTTCAGGCCTCCCACCATCTGTGATGACTGATGAGACAGGCAGACTTTTGGTGCGGTCTGTCTACTTGGTGTAGTCAATCAGCTGGAATTAGCTGATCCTGTTTCTTGGCAAATGTGGATGGGACACATGTAGCTAATGGGGAGGGACTGGGATATAGGGCAGCTGGTGTCTTGCTGCCCTTGGTTGTGGAAAGGGCAGTCTGAGCTGTGCCTGGGGACCCTCTTCCTCTCTTGTCTTAACTAATTTATGGCTGGTCACCAGCAACTGTGAGGGGAAGGACTCCAGGCTGCTGCTGAATTTGAAATAGTGTCAGACTCAGGTCAGGCCCTAGCAGCTGGACCTTGAGCTGGAGCAGAGCCAGAGCTGGGGCAAAGCTAGAGCTGAGAACAAAAGCTAATGGCACAGTGCTGCTTTTCCTAGCTGAGGCTGAACAGACACTGACCCAGGCCACCTTGAACCTGCTGACTCAAGCCATTGGACTTTGCAGATGTTTAAAGGACAACTCTGCTCTGCCATGTCAGCAGAGCAGCCTGTGGTCAGGGGGTGCTTAGCCCCTCCTCTCAGTTTCGTCTATGAGATGCCAAGGCAGGGCTTGTAGGGACAAGCAGGAGCTGCCTGTTGAGTTACTGCAGGCACTGAAGATGTCTCTTCTTGAGTTTTGTAGCTTATTCTGCCATATGTGTCCTTGTCACCCCATGGTTTGCAGAGCAGACCTCCAGGAAGACCAGCTCAAGGCAGTGGTAGGAGGGAGAAAATGGAGCATGGCAGATCTGAGTGTCTGGGACAAGAGTAGTCCCTCCAGTGTGAAGGAGCAGGCTGGAGAAATACAGCCCAGCCCAGCTCAGCCCACCAGGGCTTCCAGGCTGGCAAAGCTTGCTGGGCATATTTCCTGCCTAGAGCCTAGGCACAGGCCTTGCCCTAAGCTCCCCCTAAGCAGCAGGCTGTGCTCCCAGAAGCAGCCAGGGCACAGTGATGCTTATGGTGATAGAAGCCCAGGTCCAGCTCCACTCCTGGGAAAGAGCTCCACCCAGCAGCAATGATAGTGCTGGGAGGGCACCTGTGCTGGGTGTGACTCAGCCAGAAGCAGCTCTGTGCTTTCGGGCCTATCTTGGGGTTGCTCACGCATCAGCCCCTGCTACTCTGTGGGAAAGTGCGTGAGTGTTCACGGAGGGGAACACTGAGGCACAGATGCTGTGAAACAGGGCCGTGGCACAGAGCTCTGGGCCCCTTCTTTGACACAGCTGAGCTCAGCCCAAGACATCTTGAGCTACTTGACCAGGGCAGAAAACAGACCTACGTGCTTTCTGTGCCCAGGGCACCTCCACCACTACTGCCCACAATATTGCCACGGCTCTGGAAACTGCAGTGCCACCTTCCACTGCCACAGGCAGCTACACCCAGCTGTGTCACGTGCAGCCCAGCTGGCAGTCTGCCCTCTTTCTTGACTGAGGGTCAGTCCTCAACCACCTGCCTGTACCTACCACTGAGTCCACAGTGCAGAGTGGGGCAGGATGGGGCAGTCCCCAGCCTCTGGCCTGGGAATAGGAGGCCTGGTGTCTGTTCCCAGCTCTGCTGCTGGCCTGCTTATCACTGCAGGCAAGTCTCTTCCCCATCCTGTGTCTCCAATTCTCCTGTGACTGGCTAGGGACAGTGCTTGCCTGGCTTTGTCACAGCCCCCTGTGCTGCACAATGCAAGGCCCCATGGCAGAGCTATGGATGGTGATCATAGGAGCTGCCTGGTCCAGGCCTGGCCCCAATCAGTATCCAAGCTGTCTTAGCCCACAGCTTGTGTAGCTGCTGGCTCTTCAGTGCCAACCAGTGCTGAACAATCAGGCTCTCTCCAGCTGTCCCAGACTCAGCACTTTACTCTGCTTCCATCAAAGCTGGAGGGATTTTGCCAGTCCTCTCCAGGTAGGAGCTTCCCAGGCATCTGAGGCAAGTGTTTAGTGCCCATTGGCACTTATGTGAGCACACGCAGCTGAAGACAGCTTTTTGGTGTGGCAGAATGTACATGTGGGGGTGGTGGCTGCACAGGCACACGCCATGCACACAGCTGCTCGTGGGCACTCATCAGTTTTTGGTGCTGGGGCATCTCTCTTTCTCTCTCTACTCCCCTGAGGAACAGGCTCTGCCCTCCCTCTTTCCATCCCTCCCACCCCATTATAGACTCTGGCAGATAGCTCCCATGCCAGTTGCCACATCTCTGACAGCCCCATCTCAGCTCCTTCTCCATTACCTGTTTGTCCAGATCCCTCCAGCACGGCTGTTGCCTTCCCCACCCCTGTGGTAGCCTCTCCTGGGGCAGCTGTCTCTGGTGTGTCCCCCTCCTCCTCTGACAGTCTGTTCATCTCCGGGTTGTCATAGTTGATGTACTGGTATAAGGGTCGCAGGCGCTGTGGTCTCCCTGGGGCAGGTGTAACAGCAGCTCTGACACTGTCCCACCCCCTCTCTGCATTTTACCAGCGGGGTGTAGCAGTGCCTCAGCAGGCAACAGGGCCTGGGGGCTGTCAGCCCTGAGCCACAGAGGGGGAACTGGAGGTACAGTGGGCACAGGAATATGCCCCAAGTCCCCCACAAATCACTGTCAGAGCCAGGAATAGAGCAGACATCTTGAGGAGGTGATGGCTTGTGCTGAGGCTTCAGAGGGCCTGGAGGGGAGTTCCCACAGATGTCTGACCCCAGGCAAGTCTCTGTCTTCACAGTGGGGACAACTGTCCTGCCCTCCACACCTTGTGTCCATCTCATCTCATTAGACCCTCTATGTGGGGGCTGTCTCTCACTGTGCCTGTGCAGCACTGGGCACAATGGGGCCAGGTCTTTTGGTGCTACTGTAAGACATGCAATAATAATGCCAGTCCTGAGGAGATAGGGAGTAGGCTTGGACACGTGATTCCCTCCCTGGAGCTGGGGATCTCTGCCATGGTGCCCTCCAGGAGAGAGGCAATTGGGGCTCCTGCAGTATAATTCCCCCAGCTGGGCAATCTCTCACTCCCCTCAGTAGCCCCAAGCTTCCCCCATTGTGGTAGTGTCAGCAGTGGAGGGGCAGAAGGCTCCACTCCTCCCTCTGGAGTGGAGATATGAAAGCAGCTTCTATGGGTCTGACCCTGCTCCCCTCCACAGAGCAGGGAAGCCTTCTCTCAGTCGCAGGTAAGGGAAGGACATGAGGAAGGGGCGTAAGCAGAATCTGGCCCCTGGATTTAGCCCCTGGTATCTTGGTGGGTTCCTACCCATGTGCTTAATGGGAAGCAGGACTTCTCCCAACTGCAGAGGGTCCATTTCTAGGAGGACATGGTGTCCACGGTACTGCTCATTAGAGTTAGGCGTGCATGTAGTCAGGCCCTGCAAGGACCATGCAGTCAGGGGGCAACAGCTACCTGGACTTGAACTGACACTCGCCAGTGCTGGGGAGCCCAGCCTGGAGCCTTGCCCTTCTGCAGCAAAACCACAACCTTCCTCCGCTGCCCTGAGCTGCTGCCTTAGCTGGCAGCAGTGGCAGGTCTCTTTCTTTTTCTGTGGACTAACCGACTGTGCCTCTAGCAGCAGCTTACACTGCCATGGGCAGTACCTGAAGAGACACAGCCAGGCACTGGGAGGCATAACTGAGACTAACATGTGCTTTCCTCCTCTGCCCAAGCCCAGGCCCAGGCCCTGTGGCTGTGGTGACATTGCCTGCACTTACGGTCTGCACCTGGGGTGTCTGAGGACAGAGCTCCTGCTGCGCTGCCTGCAGAGGCAGTAAGATCAGACATGCTCTTCCTTTTCTTGGCTTTCTTGTGCTGCCTGGGGCTGGGTCCAGGCTCGGCACTGGAACCATCCACTTCCTCTGCCCTGGGAGGCAACTTCCTGAAGTCGGAGTGCTGGAAAATGAGTACGTCAGATTTGGCCCTGTGGGACAGAAAGCAAAGGCAGGGAGTGGTGGCCGAGGGAACAGGGAAGGGCACCTCAAGGCAGGAAATGCCTCTTGCTGTCCTCAGAGGCTACCCAGGTGATCTGCCAGTTTCATCTTGTGATAATGCAAAGCTGACCTGCTTCCAGCCAGGGTGGAGCAGCCCCCTGGAAAGTCCCTCTCAGGTAGTCAGTGCAAGTCTGCTGAAAGCCTTCTGGCACGATGGGCCTGTCTGTACTACCTCCCTGCTGTGCCCAGGCCATCACTGATAGTCAAACCCTGCCCCCACACCCCTCCCCTGCCCTGGGCCCAGCATGTGGGCAGAGATGTCCTGAGCACATGCCCCAGTCTGAGAGCCTGAGAGCAGTACTGGGGCAGGCACTTGGGACCCTTAGGCTGCCTGTTCCATCCAGTTGCTGGGCTCAGGTGTGCACAGGGCAGGACTGGGCAAAGCTGAATTCTCAGTGACCATCCTGGGCTCAGCAAAGCTTCAAGCACTCTGCCCTTTGCCTTCTGGCCACTACAGCCCCTATAAGCTGGCAGCCCTCGATGAAGAGGGATCAGCAAGCCCCTCCTCCATGTGCAGACAGGAAAACTGAGGCACAGAGCTGGGACGTGAATTGCCTATGGGCAGAATTGAGGCAATTGCAGAGCACAAAGAACAGAACCCTGTAGTCCCCTCCCTGGGCTCCTGCTCTGCCCTCGAGGGAGTGTGCTGCTGTTTTGATTTCCCAGCTTCTTCTGGAGCTCTTGTTCAGGTGCAAGTGAATGATGCGGTGGGTGATTCTTATTGTATGCAGCCTGAGGAAAGCAGCCCTGGTTCTGATACCCCCTATAGATCTGCTGCATATGTCTCCTTCCTGGCACGTCCCCTGCCTCTACTGATCTGTCTGCCCCTTCCTTCTCCAGTATACCCCTCCAGCTGACTGAGCAACACAGTGTGGGGCCAAGCGGATTTGCTAGGCACAGCCAACACAAGCCCAGGCAATGCTGACACAGCAGCTGCTGTCTCCCAGGCTGCTCAAGGTGAGCTCTGAGGGTCTGGGGTGGCATGGGCACTATGCTGCCTGGTTGACAGCCTAGAGCTCACAAGTTCAAGGCATAGCAGAAGTGCTCATGGTGCAGCCTGTCAGATTCTAACAAATCTGTAAAATTTGTTGAGTGCAGGTAATTATTTTGGCTAGAGGGCTGTTTAACCAGGTTTGGTGAGCCGTCAAGGGCCACATGGGTAGCCCTGCCCCTTGACAGGTGCCCTGACCCCTGGCTGCCATCTTGAGACTGGAAGTCCCACCCTCTAACCCATGACCTTTGTCACCAGAAGTCCCTTCCCTGGCCCCCCAGTAATACTCCCTTTGGGAGGGGAGGGTTGTCATCTTAGAACCAGAAAAAGAATAAATCATACACTAAAAGTCAAACACCTACTATACCGTATTTTGTTTGTTACAAAAAATATTTTTGTCATGATTTGTGTTTGCTACTGTATATAAAGGTGGTTGCATAATAACTCAAAAATAAAGTCTTAGTCTTGTATATTGTGTGGGGAGGGGGTGTGTGTGGGGGGGGGGGGAGTGTGGGAGCCCTGGCCCCTGCTTCCCTGCGGGGTCCCAGGACCTGCGCGACAGGGAGTGGCAAAGACACCTGTCTCCAGCGTGTGGAGCTTCCCTCCAGTGGTGCATGAGTGCAGGAGCTCCATGTGCGCAGTGGAGAGCCCCCACGATAGAGGCAGGGTGGGCAAGTTGCGCTCCTTGCCCCCACGTGCAGCATTGGCTGGAGCCACGTGCACCAGGCACTAGTGTCCCCTGCCTACTGCTGCTGCCACTGCCTGCAGGGGCTGCACACCATGGAGGACATGTGCGGGGGGGCCCACCCCCCCCCACCCTTCCTGACACCCACACCCTGCCCACCCGAGCGCCACACTGCTGCCGCCCCCCTGGACACAGGCGCTGTTCTGCCGCCAGCCCCAGCCCCAGACTCCGTGCTCCCCACCAGCTGAAGCTTGCCCCCACCCCTACCACCTCCCTGCCTGTTGCCTGGAGCAAGCAGGATGCCAGGGAAGCCAAGCAGGTCCTGCAGTGGCTGCAGCAGTGGCAGCAGCAGCTTCACCTGGAAGCTGCATGCTGGCCAGGCCCTTCCACCTACAAGGGTGGGAGCGAGGCACAATAAGGTAGGGTTACCATACGTCCGGCCCCTTGTCCTCCATCTGGGCAGGTTTTTTAAAATGCCAGCTAACGTCCAGATTTTTGCTTCATCTCTGCTTTTGCTTTGGGCTGGGGGCAGCGAGGCAAGCTGAATGGCTGTCAGGAGATCATGTGCTCTGTGTGTGGGGCCCTGGCAGCTGCTGACAGGTGAGTGCGTGTGTGCGTGCATGGGCAGCAGAGCTGGGGGGACAGGGTCTACAGGTCAGGAGTGAGGGGCACCGGCAGGACTGGGAGAGAGCAGAGGGCTGCAGGTTGGGAGTGCGGGACACTGGCAGGGCAGCGGGGGGGGCATATCACTGCCCCCTACATAATCATATACAGCTTCCCCCTCTCCTCCCTCTCCCTCCCACAGATGTCCTCTTTTTTGAAATTGGAGAGATGGTAACCCTAGGGGGGTGGTTATACGTGGGTGCCTTGCTCCCACCCTCGTGGCCAGAAGGGCTATACAGAATACAAGTCACTGGTGGGTGCTGCGGGCCGGATGAAAGTGCCTGGTAGGCCGGATTCGGCCTGCAGGCCCTATTTTGCCCACCCCTATGCTAAATACCTTATCCCATACGGACACAGGAAAGGAAAGGTGAACTCCCAGGCTGTAGTGCAGGTGGCTGCCTCCTCTTCTGTGCAACAGCATGCCTGCAGAGTGGTCCCTGTGGGGAGGCTGGGGTGGGGGCCTGGTCTGAGTCTGCTCTTTGATGTGTGATTATCAGGAATGAAACTGAAACTAGTATTTAATGCAATGGCCATGCTGCCGCTGCCCCCTCCTGCCCACAGGTATTGCTCAGCTATGTGCTGCAGGGACAGCCCTAAGAAAGTGCTGTTTCTCCCTCTCCTTCCCATCTCCACAGCCTTTGGCTGCTCCAGTGAGGCTGCCGGCTGTGGTGGTGTCCTTACCCCATTGACACCAAGTCCCCTGGGGCCTGAAACTGCAACACAGTAGCCCAGCATGGCTCAGCTGCCTGGTAGCCCTGAGGGGTCATGGTTCTGGGTCACATCTCTCTTGGGCTGATTTGACTGTCTTGGAGTGAACATCCTCAAGCTGGCCAGGGGCTATCTATGTTCCATTGTGCTAAACAGTCACATTGTGTGACCTGGCTCCCCTCCCTCACCCTCATTGCTGGCTCTGAGTGAACTCCCTTATCAGAGATAGATATGTAACATTTCTGGAAATTTTGAAGCCATGGGAAAAAAAATGTGTTTTTTCCCATTTTTCCAGAAAAAAATGAAAATTTTTGGAAAAAGTAAAACATATGCAATATTTATCTTCCTTATCTATCTACATTTACTTTACTACTTTATGAACATACAGTATATTATGTATAACTTAATTAGCACATAAAATTGAAATGTTTGGTATATTTATGAAATTTTAAAGTATAAGTGCCTAATTATTATTTGAATAAAACTAAGGGATTTAAAGTAATTATTTGTAATTATTGTTATAGATGGAGCTACAAGCTGCTGCACCCTAAGGTACTTAAGCATGTCTTGGTTTTTGCCAGTTCATGAGAACTAGGAAAATAATTAAAGTTGAAAATAGAAACCATCAACATTGTAGTAAACAAAAGGAAGTTTTTATTATCTGGACTTAGAAAATCTCCTCCATACAGTCCACACTCTCCAGAAACAGAAGAAACTCATATTTTTAGAAAAAAAGCTCAGAAAAAACAGCCCTGTAAGGCTGGAGAAAAAATTCAGCACATGAAACCAATATGTCTTTTAAACAAACAAGTATATCTTTGAACATATTAGCATTGCAAGTTTCTTTGTCTAATCAGAGTCAGACTTAGTTTCTGAAATATCAGTATTTTCTGATTCTGAATCTGAACCTTTACTTTTATCTTCATGGACTTCAGAAAATTGAAGGCTTGCATGGATTGAAACAAGCTTCTCTACTTGTTCACAAGGTAGTTTATTTCTTGATTTGATGTGTATCCTTCCAAACACAGAACAGTTGCTTTCATGTGCTGCAGAAGATGGAGGAATCTGAAGCAGGTGAGAAGCAAGGGGAATCAGAGGCTGTTGTACAATGGCCTTGCAAGCATGTTGCAGGACGAATATGCTTGGCAGAGTCCCAGTTTGCACTCCTGGTCCAAATACCTGATGATGTTCTGTAATAGCTGAAAGTACCTTGCCAACATCAATTCCTAAGTGTGTTGCTTGTTTTGTAATTCAGTCAAATGCAGTAGCAATGCTATCATCACTAACATTTTACCTTTTAATCTTGGATCCAGAAGATTTGCAGCAGCGTGAATTGGCTGGCAACAAAATTCCTCCCGCCTGTGAATGAAGTCTTTTACTTTTCCATCTTCTGCATTCATAAGTGGAGATATACTTATATTGCCAAACACAGTTGATTTTATCTGGGCCACTAGGTGAAGAATGTCTGTCTGATCCAGATGCAGGGATTGCTGAAAAAATTGACTTTGGAACAGGGGTGGGCAAAATGCGGCCCACGGGCTGGATGGGACCCCTAAAAATTTAGAAAATTAATATTTATCTGCTCCTGGCTGCCTGTCATGCGGCCCTCAGTAGCTTGCCAAAACTCAGTAAGCGGCCCTCCGCCCAAAATAACTGCCTACCCCTGCTTGAGAATCTTCAGGGAATTCTGCAGCTGGACCCAGAAGACATCCTCATCAAGTACAGTGTTCCTTACGCTTCGGACTACTCTTCAGTTATCGCTAATTCTTGAACAATGTCTTTGTTTTTTAGTAAACTTTCAAATGAGTTCACCACCCCACCCCATCTAATTTTACTACAAAATTTGTCTCTCCATTTTATTCTTCCCATTATTTTCTTCCTGCTTCTTCTTAAAGATTGCAGTGACAATATGAGTAGATTTTACATATTTTATAACTTATTTTGCTCTATTATAGATCTTTTGCAGTGTGTCCAGCTTTATGAAATCATTAAGAAGCAAGTTTAGGCCATGGGAAGCACATCCTAGTTCAGTAATATGTGGCTATTTGTCCATTATGATCTCCCAAGCTGCTTTCATATTACTTGTGTTGACAATCAGCAAAGCAAATACTTTACCACTCCCAGTCTTCTGTAGGATTTCACATATTTTACTACTGATATACTCTTCAGTATATCTGTTTGCTCCTGTTTCAATGCTTTTATAAAAAAACTGGTTGAGGTGTTGTTATCACAAATTTATGATTCCTTTTTCCCATACATTTGTCTACCTATCACTAAGTACTGCAGGACAGAGTGCTTTGTTGACTTTTTTGTGCACAGATGGCATTACATGTTCAAACTCTTACTATAGACAAGGCTAGCTCAAAGAATGTCTGCTGGACAAATGGTATGATGGTCTTAATAATTTAAATGCTGCCTGCCAATGTGCATTTTCAGTGATTGATAATGGCATCCCAGAAGCATAGATTGCTCTTGCAAGAGCTTGGTCAATTTTTTCTTGGTTTTCAGGTGTCATCTTGTCTACAAATGAGGTTATTGGGAGTCTTTTGGATACAGTTGGTTGAGATATCTGTTTACCTGATAATGTTGACTGGGCAACATTTTGTGATGCTGATTTTACAGGAGAAGCAGGAGGACTTCTGGATCAAGAACGTTTTCAAGTGCTACTTCCACTATCATCATGATATACTTCATGCTCATGAAAGATTTTTTTTTAAGTCTGCAGGACACTTCATACATTCAAGGAAGTGTTTGGTCATCCTGGTAGCATTTAGAAATGCATATTTAATTTTCACTATTTGCAGGTTTTTCAGAATGACTTGCAGTTACAGTGTGGAAATGCTTCCATATGTTAGAACATGGTCACACCATGTTGCTAAAGGAAAAAAAAGGAAAAAAGTAGTTTAATAGCTGGGTTACATATACAAACACTAAGCTACAGCATGTGAAAAATTTAGTAAATGATGGAGGGGAGCCCTCAATAAGATAACTGTGAACCACCCCTTCCCTCAGACTTTACTGCACTGTTAAAGTGAGAGTAGAAGGTGATTTGCTTAGAAAGCATCAGATTGGTAGGAACTCCATTATGAATTACATTAATTATGAAAATATACTAACTTAAAATATAGTTTAATATACCGAACTCAAAGAAATTGAAACTCTTACCTTTTAATAAACAAGAAGTCTACTTTCAGCTCCTTTGTGTTACTAGATGCAGTTTGTTAGGTACTTCAGTGGATCTCAGGGTCACCGGGTCCAGGAAGAGGCAGGTTCCATTCCACCACCAAAATATTTAGGTTTCTTTTTCCTCTGAGGCTTTGCTACCCACAACAGGCATTTATTGCCATTCTTGCTTGTGTGAAGAAACTGCTAAGCTGCTTGTTCCCCTGTAGCAGGGAGCTACAGGGAGTGTCCACTCCCAGTCCTTTGAGGGGAGTGGTGACCAGGTTGAGTGGCCTAGTCAGGACTCAGGAGGAGGACATATTTAGGGTAGCTATTGACGTATCTCAAGAATAGAGGACAGTTACTGTCCCCACCACCATGAACATTGCATGCCTCCCAAGGCTGAGGGGGGGGGCAGGGGGAGGCAGCACACTGAGCTCCTGCAGGCAGCGGTGTTGGCAGCAGGGGCATGGCGGCTAGCGGGGAGCTCCCACAGGCAACTGTGGCAGTGTTGGTGGTGGGCCAAGCGGAGAGCTCCCGTAGGCAGCCATGGTGGTGTCAGCGGCGGAAGCGGGCCAAGCAGTGAAAAATAGAGAACATAGAGGCATCCAGTTTCATATCAATAGAGGACGGAGGACCAGAGAACCAGACTGTCCTCTATAAAATCAGACGAATGGCCACCCTACACATATTACTCTATCTCCTCCAAACTCTAGAATGGTCAAAGTCACTGGAGGAAGGAAGGCTCCAAGCAGTGCAGAAGTACGAAAACAAAGGCAGCCCTGGATCCTTCCTTCCTCCTGTGCAGATGGCAGTGCCCTCTCGGGGAAGAATTTCATCTTAGATTTGAGAGTTGTATCACCTCTACCATATATAGTAATTGTAATGATTTAATACTATAGATTTCCTTACATAAAACATCTTCCTATTATACAGTTATTAGAAATCATTTGGAGTTAGTAAAGGGCAGCTGCAATAAACAATATTTGAAAACCTTGTCTTAAAAAGCATTTCATTCATCACTCTAAAAGAAAACATTGCGTAATAGGGTTTTTTTTTTCAGTTTTTCCCCAAATTTCCAGTTTTCCCATTGGAAAAAAAGTAAAAAGGTCCTTGGAAAAAAATGGAAAAAACCCAGGGGTTTTTCCAAATGTTTCCATTTTTCTTCCAGGCTTTCACATCTTTAGTCAGAAACCAACTGGCTAGCCCATGCCACCGCTTCCCTGCCCCCTGCAGATCAGAAGCTCTGCCCTAACACCTTCAGACCAGCCAAGCATGGCACAGCCCTTGCCTCAACACCATCTCTGAGCCTGGGCAGTGCCCTGCTAAGCCTGAGAGCTCCAAGACTGAACAGTGGGGGTTAAATCCCACCACAAAGGGCAGGGCAGCCTCAGAACAGGTGGCTGGTCAGGCCCTCACCACAATGCTCACACCACACCGAGCCCAGCAGATTCTCTTCCTGCACCACATCAGGAGGAACCTGCATAGCGTGGCACTATGCCCCAGTTTCCACTATCTCCTGCTCTCCTGCTACTGATTTCCTTCTCTCAGCCTCTTGAGGTCCTTCCTTCCTTCCCTCTCCCATCACCTACTTCCTCCTCTCTTAGACACCTCTGTTCAGCCCCTAAAAATTGAAGAGCCTTGTTTCTTATTTCTAAGCAGAACAAAGATCTAAGCAGGTATAGCAATTCCCCAGCACTGAGATGCCATGTGCCAGCCTCTGGCCCAGATTCCTCCCCTTCCAGCCTTTGTGTTGGTCTCTGCAGCCTGGACATTAGGAACAGGCCCGTGTGTGTGGCCCCAGCAGGATGCTAGTAGCTGTCTGCTTAGGAGTGCAGGGGAATCTGGGACTTACTTTGCCACCTTGGCTCTGAAGCCAGCAGTCAACAGCCAGGTCTGGAGCATCGAGACTGACCGCAGGGTCTTCAGCTCTGGGAAGAGCTCCTTGTGCTTCTGAACCTCCTCTTCATACAGGTGCGGATGGACAACAACTCCCCGCCCATCCTCATGCCACTGGGGAGAGACATAACAAGAGGCCATGGTCAAACTACTCCCTTAGGGAGCAGGAGGGAGTGGGCAGGGCTTGAATCCCAGTGACCATCCTGGGCTCAGCAAAGATTCAAGCACTCTATCTTTTTGGTCCACTACAGATGTGATGAGCTTGCAGCCCTCAATGAATGGGGGTCAGCAGGGCTCTCTTCCATGTGCAGACAGGGAAACTGAGGCACAGAGCTGGGGAGTGAACTGAACTTCCCTCTTCCAGCACACAGCGTGGACACCAGTTGCCTGGGACTGTTCATTCAGTGCAGTTCCTGGATTCCCCCAAACCCAGATTTGCATTGAACAAGTGCACTAGGACTAGGTATTTCTTGATTGTGCATTATATCTGGAACCCTCTCCACTATACAGCCATTTGCATGGGCCTTGGGTGCCATTGGTTTGTGCTGGGAGGCAGTCAGCCACTTCTAAGTCTGGGACTGGGTCTCACCTCATAGTTAAACTGGCCTGTTTGAGCTTCGCTTCACCAGGCAGCAGCTCAAGCAAACTCTAGGATCTGTGGTGGTAGTTGTCAGTAAAATGAGCATAAAGCCATGTCATGATGGCTCTGCACTTCAATGAGAAACAGCACAGAAATCCAGGCTGCTGTTTTCCAGTCCCTGATCAGCGGTCTGGTCCCTCCATTGGCGATACTGAGCCACATCAGCTGAGCTTGGTGTACTTATGAAGTGGCATCCCTGGAGCAAGATACAGCAGCTTTTACTGTTCTGCACATTTAGCTAGTACTTTATTAAGCAAGTACTAAACTAAATGTGCAGTAACTACTGTGCATTAATGAATGTGTAGACAAGTCCACAGAGTCATAGGGTGAGAAGCTTTTAGTCCAGTCCCTTGCACAGTGCAGGGTGCACTATTCCTATTACCATCATAGAGGCTGATCCACCCTCTTCTGAAGCCCCCCTGTGAAGGAGATCCCACAGCTTCCCTGGGCAGCTTGTCCCACTGTCCTACCTGCTTACCACGACAGAGCTTTTGCTAGGGCTATTGAGAGAAAGACATGATGGCAAAGCACTGGGCAGATTGCTTTCTGGGAAGCAGCCTCTGCCCCAAGGGAGCTGACACCCTTCACAAGGAGCTTTTTCAACTCCCAGCCCAGCACCTCAGCTTGAAGAGGTACCAATCCCTCTTCTTTGCTGATGGAGCAGGAAGGAGGGGCATCCCCCTCCCCAGTAACACTCTGAGCTCTATTCATGTGGCAGACTCTTTTAGCACCACCCTCTGCCCCAGACAGCCTTACCTCCAGAGCCCTGATGGCTGGATTGTCCAGAGCTGCTGCCAGTTGGGAGAGGAAGAACCCAGGCATGGCCTTCCCACTGTGCCGCCTCTCACTCAGACGCCTTACACCAGTGGCCATCACCTGAGGGTACAGGCAGACACGGACTTCAGATGCTTCACCCCTTCAAAATCATCCATTGCACTCCAGGCATACACGGCAGAGGGACAGACTGCAGAGCTCCCAGCCTCAGGAGCAGCATCCCTGCTTGCAGGTGGGGACATAGAGGCCTGGGGGAGAGGGGTGTCAAGTGATATGCCCCAGGCCAGAGCTCCAATGTCCCTGTCACTTTTCTTCTTGAGTATTCTCTACAACTGCCGCCGTCCCCCCCACAAGCTCGTGTAGCCCAAACCTGGAAATGTGTCAGAAAAGGCACTTCAGGGAGCTGGAGCTGCAGCTAAAGTTGAGGGAACCCATAGATTCATAGATTCATAGATGTTAGGGTCGGAAGGGACCTCTATAGATCATCGAGTCCGACCCCCTGCATAGGCAGGAAAGAGGGCTGGGTCTAGATGACTCCAGCTAGATGCATATCCAACCTCCTCTTGAAGACCCCCAGGGTAGGGGAGAGCACCCCCTCCCTTGGGAGCCTGTTCCAGACCCTGGCCACTCGAACTGTGAAGAAGTTCTTCCTAATGCCCAGTCTAAATCTGCTCTCTGCTAGCTTGTGGCCATTATGTCTTGTAACCCCCGGGGGCGCCTTGGTGAGTAAAACCTCACCAATTCCCTTCTGTGCCCTCATGATGAACTTACAGGCAGCCACAAGGTCGCCTCTCAACCTTCTCTTGCGGAGGCTGAATAGATCCAGTTTCTCTAGTCTCTCCTTGTAGGGCTTGGTCTGTAGGCCCTTAACCATACTCGCCTTATTTGCCTCTTGTCCTTCATGTACTTCTCAAGGCAAACACATCACCAGCTTTGTTCCCTTCCTCCTCCCCAGCAACCTCATTCTTTTCTTTCCTGTCTCCACAAGCTCTCAGAGTACCTCAGCCATCCCCATCCTGCACTCTTCTGCCACTGGCTTAGCCCTCCTCATAGATGCTCTACTGGTTCCCAGACCCTGGCTTGATGGCTGGTGCTGCCTGCCCCTCCACTGAGGGAGGGGACAGACCATGGCAGGAGTATCAGCTGGGGAGACTGAGTCCTGTTTACCCCCTGCAAGAATAGTCCCTGCTTTTTCCTTTCCCTTCCTCTGGGGGACCTACACTGCTCCTCAGCACACCACCCTGACAGGTCACATGTGGCCATCCAAAATGTCCTCCAGGAGAATGCAGATGGGCCCTGCCCCATTAGCTGAGATCACAAGGGTGCCTGTTCCCAGCACATAAGACCAGAAGCAAACACTGGGGTCATCCCATATGGCTCTGTATACAACTCAGGCCTTAAGACTACCCTGCATCCATTCCAGGGTGAACTAGCACTTATTTGTTAGAAAGACACCTGTTCTCCAGCAATGAATAATTCCGCCCCGCATTCCCCACAACCCTTAGTGAAGGGCTCCAATGGTCAGTACCTGAATGCCTGTGCTTGCTCTTATTTCTAGTCTGAATTTTGTAGTTCTAGCCCCAGCCAAGGAATCCCCTTATGCCTTTGTCTGCCAGACTGCAGAGCCCCTTAGTAACACATTTCCGTTCCCCAGGTAGGTGCTTTGGTGCTGTGACTAAGTCTCCGTTGGCTGGAGCTCCCAGGTGTCTCCCTGTCAGCTTGCTTCCCCAAGCCTATGGATCTTCCTCGAACCCTCTCCAGTTTGTCACCAGTTAACAACCCCTGGCCTTGCTATGACTGAATCAGAGCCCTACTGTCCAGGCTGTAGCACAGGCAGAGCTCATGACAGTCCTGTTGACTTGAATGGGAATACAACTGAGCCGTACTAGAGAGAATAAGCCCACCCATGACTGGGAGTTGGCCAGCACATGGGGGTTAAATGCAGAACTGGGCTGGGGCTTCAGCTATGGGAGAGGAGAGGCATTTAACAGAAAAAGCCAGAGTATCTGTACTTAAAACAGCAAGGAATTAGCTGTGGTGTTTCAACCCTGCTTTCCTGTTCCCTACTGCTCAGCAGCCTCCTCCACGCCTCTGACATTAGCTTTAGTCTCTCTTTGAACGGCTCTGCTCAGGTCTGTGTTGCTTCCCTCCTGACAGCAGACTTTGGCTAGACAACTGTTAGGCTCCATTTGACTCTCATGCACTGAAGCCTTAAGACAAAGCCTGGAGCCCGCTGAGCCTGCACAGGCTGAGACGCGGCCTTGGGAGCACTCACCTTCTGCGCCCCCAGCAGAGCCAGGCCCTGCCCCAGCCCACAGACCAGGGCCCTGGGCTGTCTCAGGGCAGGGGGAGGCGGTGTGCGGGCTCTGCCTTGTCCCTGAGCTGTCTCTGCCAAGGGATTTGTACTGGGGGAGGGGCTGCAGCCTCTGGCCTGTGTTATGCTGCAATGAGGCCCAGCAGCGGAGGCTGGGAAGTGCAGCCCGTGGGGGAGCATGGCCAGCCCATGGGCCTCGCCAGGCGGCAGGGCTGGTGGCTACACCCCCACATTGGCTGCAGACCCCGGAGAGGGGGGGACATGCCCTACTCTCCCCGCAGGTATACTCCGGACCCAGACAAGGGGCCACAGGATGGATGTGCAGGTGTCTGTGAACCCACCAGCGCGCCTGGGGCCTTGCGACCAGGGCCCCCAGCAAGGCAGGATGTGAACCAACACGCTTGCTCTGGGGAGCGTCACTTCTGTTCACCCACTTCCAGCACCTACCCTGGCGTGCCCTGGGAGGCGTCCCCCTGCTCCTGCCCCTGGGCCGCAGGTTCCTCCTGGCTTGCAGTGCAGCAGCCGCATGGTCCCCCTTGGACCTGCCCCGAAGCAGGGAGTGCGTCTCCAGTCCTCATAGTCCCCTCCTTCCCCTCTCCCCAGCGCACCTTCCCAGTGTCTTCAGCCCTGGCATCTCTCCAACTCGTGTTAGGGCGCAGGTTCCCATTGAAGTGAGTGAGCAGCACCCCGGCCCGTGGGTGGGGTCACTGTGACCCCTGATCCTGGAGCACAGTGGTCTTCAACGCAAGCACCAGGGCCTGCTACCAAGAGCTGGCAGGGGCAGGGGCAGGGAATGAGCAGCCCAGCAGTAACAGGCCCAGCAGGGCACACTGGCAAACATGCGCTGGGGCTCCCAGCAGGAAGCTGGGGGGAGTTCAGGCCAACAGCATGATCCCCAAGGGACTGGCCATCCCCAGGGTCATTGGGAATCACATGGGGTTTCAGCCGGCGAGCTCTAGCACTCTGCGTACAAAGTTGCTGGTGCAGGTAGATTCATAGATGCTAGGGTCAGAAGGGACCTCAACAGATCATCGAGTCCAACCCCCTGCCTGGGCAGGAAAGAGTAGTATGAGAGTGAATATGATAATTACTACAATGATTATCATCATTAGCATTATCACTAATATTATTTGGTGTATCAGAACTGGGGATTTCTGAAAGGGCAGGTATGAAGTCCAGTAAGTGCACATGATTTTTATGACACATTTAGAAAATGTCCGCACAATTGCAAATAACTTTTCTAAAATGATATGCTCCAGTTGTATTAATTTGCTTCAGCATATTGTAAGTGTCTTTGACAACCACAGCTACTGAGCAGGCAGCTAGAGCACTCTGTGCATGCTTGCTCCAACCCAGCCCTGACAACCCACTGAGGAATACGGGGCTGGGCCATCAGCAGGATTTCTTCGCCTTCAGAGAACGGTGAGGTCTGTTTCTCGTCTCCACTGCTATGGACAGTTGGGGTCAGGGTGAAACACAAAGCCTGCTCTGTGGCTGTTTCTGGGCCCAAGCATCTCTGAAATCTCCCTTCCACATGCTGATGACACATGGCCACGATTCATGGTGCAGACTGATGACATGGGTTCGGGGTGTGGGAGGAATGTGTTTTGCCTTATCTGACTTCATAGGCCCTTGCTGATGATGATGGCTGTGGTTCATAAACTACCCAGAGCATGCTCCAGCAGTAACGGACACGTGGCATAGTGATGCTTCCTTAAATTTCCTGGAGCAGATGAGCTGTACCAGGCTTGCACTGTGCATTAGCTGCTTGCACTAGTGACAGGTCTCAGGTATATTCTCTATGACAAAATGAAGGCATTAAGGCTGACAGTGTGATGTGCAGAGATCTTCATCACTTGTGACTTAAGTGATTTCCCCATTACAATTTGTGGGAGCTGGTGGATAGGGGCAGCAGTATCACAAAGATTCCTGTTGGGGGTCTAGGTAATACTTGCTGAATGTACTGTGATTCCATCCAATGTACTGGGGGCATCTTTTCATATGAAGTCTGCCACTGTGTGTGTTGATACTCTACAACACAGAGCAGTAACCTAAGACCCCTAGACCCATTGAACCCAACCTGCAGATATGGGGCTTTGGCAGTGTTTGCAATGGGGGACATTTCTCATGCCATGGCATGGAGAATTGATAGTAGCGAGGGCTTGGGATAGAAGCAGTGGCAGCAGCAGATGGATCCTAGTACCCACCCACCTCTGACCTGAGCTGGGTCATTCCAGCCTGCAATCTGACAAGGTTGTTGACTGCTGCCCTACAGCCATGTCACCTAAAGCTGTGAAAATATTAGATCTCACACACTAGGAAGACTTGAGCTGTATACATTTTAGCTGTTAAACTTACCAACAATACTTCTCAGGAAGAAGGTAGGAAATAGTGCCAATAAACCAGCAGAAGGAGCTACAAAGAGTTATTAAAAAAATTTTAAACCCCACAAATGCTGTTGTCCCCACTATTGCTGTTCATTCCTTTCCACAGGACAGTCCTCCAGCAATCTGAAGCTAGAAACAGATGAGAACAAACAGTTCTAATGACAAATGCAGTGCATGGATTAAAGGCAGCACAGACAGCAATTCCTATAGTGAAGTGGTTTGCCATTGTCAATCCATTGCCATTTGCTATAATATCACCAAACTTTAAGTGTTCAAGCTGAAATTGTCCATTCCAAGTGTCTGCCTCAGAACGATAGTTGGAGTTTTGGGGGGGTTTGTTTTGGGTTTGTTTTTTTGTTTTTTGGGGGTTTTTTTGCAGGGGGTGGAGGGTTGAAGTTTAATCTAAAGCAGTTCAGTTGCTTCCAAGAGGCAGAGTAGGTAAAATATGTAATCTTGCTCATATTGAAAACATTCATCCAGCTGTTTCATTGAGAAGCTCCAAAACCTCCATACTTTGGAGCAGGGGCTTGGAAGTTGTAGGGATTTGCTCAAGTGTCTGCAATGTGTTTTTGTCACTCATGAAAATCTGCCCAAATTTGACCTTTCAGTATATTATCTCACACATTCGGTAGAGACCTGTTCAAGTTTGGCAGCTAAATTCTCAGATGAGTCACTGCGTGCTCTATTCCTTTGTCCCCCCGCCCCAACCCCAATTCTTGTGTGTGACTGGGCTGCATGTGTGCCATGCGTGCAGAGTGACTGAGCTTGCTCCATCCTGGGGCTGAACAGGACTTCCCTTGGTTTTGGGCCTGAGGTGGTTCTGGGGACAAGATCTGAGAACCTGGAGCTGGTCCCTCCTGTGCTTTTAGTTCTTGCTCTGTTAGCAGGGAGAAATAAAGCAATATAGTGGATGCAGGATCTAGTACCTGGGAGGAAGCAAAGTACAAGAGACAGCAGTAGCTAGACAAGTTGTGAAGGAAAAAAGGAGACGGGACTGGGGTTGGGGGTAGTTAGCACAGTAGAGTAGGGACTCAGGGATGGAGGTTGTGTAGGAGCAAAGGGAGACAGGGGAGAAGAGTCTGGGGATATATTAACATGGACAGTGGAAAAGAGAAGAGCAGAGTGGGAGGGACAAGAGCCAACAGGTGATGTGGAAGAAAGGCAGAAGCTGGGGCAGGGGGAAATGGGGAGGGAAAAGGACAGATGCTGCGGTATGGGGATTTAAGTGAACTGAAACATTCCAGCCTTTGTTAAATTATTAATGTTTGGCATGGAGCTGTGGTCCTCAAAGCCTGGCTCTAATGGTCTAGGTGCTTTATTCAGATGGCAACTTGAAAGTAAGCAAAAAGGCCCCCATGAGGGTCAGTATACATGGGAAAGAGATACCTGGAAATGTAATTTAGGAGTATATTGGGTCAACCCCAACAATCTGCATCAGTTTCAGTTGCTGGTAAATTAGCAATGCTGCCATAAATCACTTTAAAACAAGGTGCATCTACACCTTATGTGAGAACTGTAAGCACCAGGAAGTAAAGACAAAACAGCCTGCAATGGTCATCGGTTATATTATTTGTCACCTGAGTAAGGAACTAGCTGAAGGGGAGATATCAGTGGATTGTGCTGAAGTCTTGGAATTAATCTTTTTTAATCTTTCATTAATGACTTTGGCACAAAAAAGGCATGTACTAGGAACATTTGCTGAGTACACAAAGCAGAGCATTGTCAACATAAAGAAGGACCAGAATCTTGTGTAGGAAGAATCAGGAGGCCTTGAGGACTAAGCCATCCTAGAAACAGGATTCAATTTAATAAAACAAGTGTGGCGGGCTTGCCTATCTTTGCCTGGTTCCTCGGGCTTAGAGAATTTCCAAAGCGACTGGTGGGGCAAACCCACCAATCAGAGACCAGTAGGGGAGGAGCCTCAGGAGGAGTCCGCCCTGCCCCTACGTTGGGGCGAGGCGAGGAGCAGACCTAATTGAAGACTGCGCTGCACCTCCCCTCGATTGAACAGTCTTCAGTCTTGGGGCAGAGCCCCAAAAGGGTGTATAAGGAGCTGCATGCACAGCACGTGGAGGAGACGATGAGGGGTGGATAAGAAAGAAACCGGGGCTGAGGAAGAGGTGGGCAAAGGGGCACTTCCAGCTGCCCTGAAGAGCCTGAAGACTGCACTGGTGGATGGGAGCAGCAGGCAGCCCCGGCCCCAACCCATCGCCGTGAGAGATCACGGTGAGCCGGTGCAGGCATTGCTGCACGGAGGGTCTGCTAGGGACTGGGACCTTGGGAGCCACTTGAGGCGGCTCGGGACTCCAACCCCAGCAAAGGCCAGACAGTGCAGGCATCGCTGCGCGGAGGGTCTGAGAGGGACCAGGACCTTGGGAGCCACTCGAGGCAGCTTGGGTCTCCAACCCCAGCACGAGGCTGGATGGTGCAGGTGTCGCTGCACAGAGGGTCTGAGAGGGACTGGGACCTTGGAAGCCACTTGGCCATATGAAGAGTGGCTACGAGCCATGGGACTCTTCAGCCTGAAAAAGCACAGGCTCAGGGTTGACATGGTAGCAGCCTATGAGTGTATAAGGGGTGTGCATCAGGATCTGGGGGAACACCTGTTCACTAGAGCGCCCCAAGGGATGACAAGGTCCAAAGGTCACAAACTCCTCCAAGACCGTTTTAGGCTGGACCTACTTCTTTATGGTCCAAACCCCCAAGGCCTGGAATAGACTCCCTCGAGGGCTTGTGCAGGCACCTACTCTGGACTCTTTCAACGTTTATTTGGACACTTCATCTTGCTGGGATCCTTTGACCCTAGCTGATTTCCTGCCCCTGGGGCAGGGGGCTGGACTCAATGATCTTCTGAGGTCCCTTCCAGGCCTAACGTCTATGAATCTATGAGGCGACTCGGGACTCCAACCCCGGCACAAGGCTGGCACCAGTGCAGACACCGCTGCACA